GGGATGATATATATCCTCAGGTAAGGAGAAAGGAGTTGATCTCGCGACATTAATTAGCAAATCATGATTAACAAACACAAGATCAAGAGTGCGATTAAGATGGTTTGAAATAGAGTTCATCTGAAACATAGACAGGTTAAACAATTCATCAAAAAGATAGTGATCAATTGTCGGAATAAAGTAATTTGCATTACAAGTTGACACTCCACATGGATATGTCAGCTTCTGAGGCTAATCTAAATGAAGCTCAAACTTTTGAGCAATATTGATGAGCCTAATTCATATCATACAATCAATTAGCATATGCTAAGTCGAAAATAGTATTTCTTAAGCTTTTCGCCTATTTAATTGATATGTGCTCAAACACGTTTATAACTGATTCATCGTCCGTTTTGTTTTAGTTTTTTCTTCTCTGCCTGCCTCTGTCACGTTTTTTAAGCTCTCACGCATTGCGGCATTCCGACATTTCTCCGGCGTAGAGCTACATGAGATCTCATACAAAGAATGCCGCCAATAAAAAATCGAAATAACACAGTTTGTATTTTACTTTTCATTTTTAAAGCATTTAAAGCAGCAGCTTATTGAAGTCAAAACTATTCACAAGCCAAAATCCACAAAATAATAATCATAAAAACAAAACAAAACAAAACAAAAAGTCAAGCAGGAGAAAAACAAAAGTCTCAATTTACTCACTTTCATTTATATTACAACGATATGCGACACTAAATGCTGTGTAAGTATGTCGTTGTTGTTGTTTCATTTGTAGTTCCTGTTATTGTTGTTGTTGCTTTTGGTTTCTGCTCTGTGAATTTGGCTGACGCCTACGGGCGTCGCCATGTCACACGCTGCGTATGAGTGACGCGCCTTTATTTTCGGTTATTGTTTTAGCTGCCTAAAATCGAACAACAGCAACGGCAACAGCAACAATAACAGCTACTACGGCAAAAAAAAGAAGGTACGTTAGGCATACCCCACATATATACCCTATATATACCCGCACAGCACACGGCTTGCCCATGATTCACCTGCTGCGCTCATTTGCATAGAGCTGTTCGCTTGCAGCTTGCGGCATGTCAAATATTTCTCAGCAGTTGCCACACACCGCTTCTCGCACTCACCTCGAATGCTCGCAACTCACATTCATTAATGATAACTCACCTTGCCAATGTCCGAACCAAGTCTTTAGCTCCGATCATCTTTCGCTTAACTTGCGGTCCAGTTTCGCATTCATTCATTGGCGTCGTTTAGCGTGAGTGAAAGTTATGTAATTTTCGGTGAATTTTGCAATTTGCAGCGAACATCAGAAAAACCTGATTTCGCCGGCTCCTGCATTCGCAGCAACAGTAACAACAATAACAATAGCAACAACAATGAAATTGGTGCTCCGTATCGATTGTCCGGCTAAATGTCAAATCAAACGTAATTTCTAAATGCCAATCATATAGAAATTTCTCTTTTTTACCAAGCACAACTGTCAGCCAACCCTTTTGCACTCGCTGCTGCCGTCTCGCTCTCGCAAATAATGCGTTTTTGACAGCCTTACAAAGGCCTTTAACGCGCCAAATCAGTCCCAGATATAACTATCTATATATATACTATATATACAAATATATTTATACAAAACTCATAAGCTTCAATTTGTTGACTGGCATCGCCCAATTAGCCGCAACAAGTGGCCAAAAGAAATAAAAAAAAAAAAAGCAACAAAAACAAATTGGCCCGCATACTTTCGTTGTGGGTGTGGTCAGCTCTACAAGTGAGTCGTACTTGATATACCCTGTAATATACATATTTTTTCGTTTTTATGGCAAATGGTTTGACTCGTAGGCGAAGACGTTACATCCGGATGCTGACTATCTATATCTGTTATTTAATTAAAATTATGTTTTCTGATCACAGAATGTCTATGTATGTATATAAATAAACTTTATAACAAATATACACACATATATGCATACAACTTTTACTGTGCTTAGCACATATTTATTAATGCTAATATATTTTATGTGGGTTGGTAATTAGAATTTGTTATATATACTTAGATACTTAGTAAAATTAATACAGTTTTATTTGCAAATTCTCCATTGTATCAAGCAAATTTATATATATATATTTTTTTTGTATATATTTTTTATTTTTCTAATAAGCTCGAATTTGTTATTCAACATTGCCAGCTCAAGATTCATCATTCCAGGGTATCTGCAGAGCTATCCGCTGCTTTCAAGTCACAATCATCTTATTGTTGTTGCCAAGTTTACTTTTTAAATTAGCCAGACATATTTCGCAGCTCAAGTTGGCAATGCCAACCGCTGTGAGCGAGGCATTCAGCGTGCGTTCTATTGACCCAATTGCGTGTTTGCAATGCATATATAATAAATACATATCGATTTGCCAGACCGATAAGTATACATAGGAACAGTTATGTAAATGCAGGTGTTCCTCGAGGAACTTTTTAGACATTATGACCAAATATAAGAGAATATATAAGATACATATTCGAGCGAGAAATCTAATTTATAGATGAAATTGATATGAAATAAGAATATTTTCCACATGCTGCAACTCATTCTCCTCTTATTATCATATACTTATTATATATAAATATTTTCCATAAATTCGGTAAACATTTATTGAACAACTTCAACATTTTCCTGTCAATAAATCATGGATGAGGCCCATTATATTTGTGTTGTGTTTGTCCTTTACGTGTTCTTGGGGCCTCTCAAGTCAAATGTCTACCCTCTTTTCTCAAATATTCAGCCACACCAGAAAAGGAGCTTCTGCTCTGTTAGGTTAAAGGTGTTGCCCACCTTCGACTGTGCATGAAGCGAAATAAAGCTAAAAGTCGCAAGTAGGAAAAAAAAAAGTAGAAAAAGAAAAACAAAATACAAAAATGTGTTTTGCTACGTTTTTGGGTTAAACGCGTAAATACCAAGAGGTGAAATTGATTTTCTTTTCATTTGCGCAAATATGAATTGTCAATATTGTGCGTAGACGTTGTCTTGGTCGACGGCGTCATCGTCGTCGTCTGAGAAAGTGCAGCGTTATCTTCTTGCATGGGGCAGACCTTTTATTTTAGGGCTTGTCTGTCATTCATGGACTGGCTGACGAATTCAATTCACTTTGTGGTTAAATGTTGGCCTAGCAATTGGCTTGAAACACTGGGAACATCTCCTCCCTGTGGGAGTGCATGCGCTTTCACAGGGCTCTGAACTGAGCTGCGCCAAGGGCCGGACAATGGCAGCGCGTTGTTTGCCTTAACCCATTTGCCCAAGTCCCAAAGAAAGTGAAATTGATGACACAAATGCTCAAACAACAAATACTTCAACTTGAAGCTAAAGCTGCTGTATCTATGCTAAATGGTCTGGTTAAGTAATCCCGTGAGAGTCGCAAACATTGCGCACTCATCGAAGCGTCCAGCGCCGACTGCGCCGACTATGCTGAGAATATTGTCAGCCGTGCAGACCGAGATGCGACTGAAGCGATAAAATTCACGACGCCGTTGACAACACCCGCCTGCAGCTCAAGTATTAGAACCGAAGGGGGTCTTCTGATTAGGGCAGCCAATATGTAACATGAATCTCGCCTGTTTTTTTGTTATAATAGCATTAAAAAAATTAGTAATAAATTTTCTATATAAACACACACGAAAACTCAATATATTTGAGTAAAATGATTTTAAAAACTAATTGATTATAAAAAAAAAAATAAAAATAAAAATAAATTTACAAATAAAAAAAAATAAAAAATAATAGAAATTGCAAAAAAAAAAATTGTTTTTCCTCAAAATAAAAAATAATAAAAATAAAATAAAAAATATGAAACAAAAAATCAATTGAAAAAAAAAATTGTTTTTCCTCAAAATATATTTATATAAACATATATAACAATTAAATAAAATAAAATAAATAAAATTATGTCTACAAGAAAGAGAGCTTAATTTATTGAAGGGAGAATATATATAATACGGACAGAAAAAAACTTTAGGTCATAAATTGTCTATGAAGACAATATGGTTGAGTTACAATCTAAATAATGAATTACCTCATAATAATATTTTAATATAAATACACATTGAACTTGTTTAGCTCGTTACCTAGAAATCCTCCAAAATAGAAATATAAATAATATATATAGAAGTACGAAATGAATAGAAATAAAGCTCTAAAACTCTAAAGAACAAATAGAACTAATAATAAGCAATTAAAATGAAAAACAAGTTTTTCCACTTTTATTAGTCTCTCTACAGGGTATCTGACAGTCGTCGTCGCGAGCTTCTGCCGCACTTTTACTTGTTTATTTTCTGAAGCTAGAAAAAAGAGAGGCGCCGCCTTGTTGATCGATTTGTTAGATATGCGGACAGCATGCGACTTTGGTGTTGGCGTTAAACTGCCTGCAATTGTGTTTGGCTTGTATGCGCGTGTGCGTGTGTGTGTGTGCCTGTGTGTTGTCTTCTTTTTTAACCATAAACTGCGCGCCCTACAACTTTCACTTGTGTGTCGCAAGAGCCAAGCATAGCTACGGCCACAGTCCATGACTCGTGGCGGCATTCTCATTCGACTGTTGGATAACTTTCAGTTCTTCTTTCTGACTGAGCTTACGTAAAGTAATTAGCCGAGTGAGTGAAAACTCTGGTGACGACCCTCGCTGGCGGAGCCACCCAAGTGGTTGACTGCAGCTGCTGCATGCTGATTGATTTGTGACGACCTGTTTATTGACTTTGCTTGGGCTTTTACATAAGCCCTTTGTGTTTTTTTACCTGTTTACCACTTGTATTGCAACACGCATTTGCGGAAGTTCGTCTTGGCCAAGTCGTCTTGGCCGTCGCGCATGCGCAATAAACCGTTTTTTCGTTTTATGCATAACGGCTCTGTGCACGCATTGACGCATTGCCGCATTGCCGCTCTGTTCGGCCAGACGGCGGGGTCCACGTAACAGCATTTGGACGCGTGCTAATTAACTGTGAATGGAAGCCAGGTGCAGGTGAAGAGTTATGCGGCTTTATTACCATTGGCCTATTATTGGCTAAGACTAACACAGAGAGTAACACTAAAACAGATCTAGTCTCTATAGGAAGGGCTTATTATCGTAACGATACGAGTCCTTGGCCACGCCCAGCGGTATGTAGTGCTGTCTAAGTGGTATCCAGCTGCTGCCGCTCGAGGACAGATCGCCATGGTAGCTCTTGATTGTTGGCGCCGAGGCGTGCACAATTTCCAGACGTTCGTGCGTTGGACTCATCATGGACTTCAAGGCCAGCAGGCCGGCGGCAGCCAGCGCTATTTTGCCCATGACAAATGATGAGGCCGAGAGCGCCGTTAGCCATTTCAAGATCAAGGGCAGCAATATAAACTTGGCCAGCACCGCCGCGCTCACCAGCGGAAAGAGCATCTTCATCAGCTTCTTGTGTTTGTGATGCTTGCCGCGAGCTAGCCAAAACGAAAATGTTAATTATGAGCGAAAGCGCAGATGAGATGTGGATGAGTGCTGCACCTCCAGCTGCCTACCTTCGGCTGACCAATTGCCCAGCAACTGGCTCAACTGCTGGCCACTCAGCTCGCCGCTGAGCACTCGCTCCAGCTGCTGCTCTGCTGACTGCAGCCAGCGCTGCTCCGTGACTGTGGCTGCTGCTGCCAGCTCCTCTTCCTGCTGCTCCGCATCCTGTTCGACAGCTGCGACAATTGCACCACCCAGCTGCACCGCCGGCGGCAGCCCATGCGCCCATCCCACAGCCAGCAGGCAGGATATGAACAGTAAAACTTTAGACATTCCGCTTATAGTTCTATGCAGCAGCGCTCTGCTCGGGCAACTAAGCTAAGCTAACTAACTAAGTTAAAGGCTAGTGCGCCCGCATAGTGCAGCTCGTTGCACTCGAATGCACTCGCAGGGGCTGCTGTTCTGGCCAAGTGGCTAATAGCTGGATGGTTGCTGCTTAGCTGTTTTGTTCTCCTATGTGCACAGCTGTGCGGGGTATGTTGACTCTTGTATGCAGTTTGTGAGGCAGAGGAGCAGCTGCTCTATGGAAGGTCGAGTTTCAGCTGTGCTCGTAACAGAATCAATGAAACTCTTAATAAAGAATTCAAGTGCATGTACAGTAGAATCCGATTATAACGGCGCTTAAGGAACCGTCGTTATATCCGGAAGCCGCTATAGTCATATATGTACATTTACTCATTAAAGTTTGTTTGGGAACCAGAAGAGCAGTCGTTATAGCCGGATACTACTGTAGCATTCAAAATTCTATTTCTGATAATATTTTTAAATTTTATGCAAAACACACTCTCTAATGCTTATAATATATAACAAACACCTACGGAGCCCTTTCTCTTCAAAGAGTATTCAAGTTTCGTCGTTCTGCCATATTTTGTTTTCTTTTTGAATTATTTTCTTTTGCTTTCTGTTGTTCTGGTTTTCGATTCGGTTTTACTTAAGCGTGAACGAACACACATTAAGTTTTCCCTACTTTAATAAACGGTTTCATCGTTCATGTTGTTGTTGTTGTTGTTGTGATTGTTGCCGCTTGTTGGCTGTGCTGTTGCTGTTGCTGTGGCTCAGCCATCAACAAGTAAAAACTCTTTATTAACGCTGGCTATCATTTTGCTTGGCGCGTTGCGGTTCACTTGCCATTTTAGCTGAACAACACACGAATAGCATTTTTCCATTTCTAAATCGCAGTGAAATGCCACCTACAGACACGCCCCGTGCACCTACTCTTCGCCCTTCTCCTCATCTACTTCTTCCACTCAAAGGTCGCCGCGTATTTAAGGTCCGAGAAAACATGTTTTTTATTTTCATTTAACTTTAAATACACTTTAAATACATAATATAATTAAATGTGTAATAAAGAAGAGATGCAAAAACAAAAACTAATTTCATTTGCAGTTGTAAAATGTTGTTGACTTCCATAAATTAATTATTTAGCAACATTTTACGCGCGCATCGCAAATACAATGGAAAAACGAAATTAAAGCGGAATTTCGTCCAATTAGCAGACAGAAAAAAAAAAAAAACCATATACGTGCTCATATGAGCATTTTAATTGGCTTAATTAATATACGTTTTGCATTAAACATCAAATTTAAGTTCAGAAATAAAACAAAGTTTGTTGACAACATTTCGTTGGCAAACGGATCTAATTGTTGTTCAACTTTGGCTGTCGAAATGCTTCTGCGTGTGTGTGAGTGAGGGTGTGAGGGATGTCATGGTGCTAACGGTTGTTTTCAGGTCCGCAACACGCATACTAAATGGCGGCCCAACTAATGCCAAATGCCAAACGCCAAACGCCTCGCTGTCGTCACATATCATGACCAGACTTTGGCAATGCCCTGGGCTTTTAGCGTCACTTGAGTGTTAACGCGATTTTCGGGCATCCGGTTGGCGTTGCCGTCGTTGTTGTTGTTGTTGTTGTTGTTTTTGTAGCTGTCAGAAACACCCTAACAAGGTTGGGGTATGATTCACTTGATTGGTACTACAATAACTTTAGTTATCTATAATCTATAATAAATGAAGAAATAAAATATAAAATATAATAAATGGAGAAATTACATTTAAATTGTTTGTAAAAATATCAAAATTATAAACATAATATTTTTGAGAACTAAATCAAATTATATTAGAAAATAATATGCACAAAAATTCAATGAAATAAATACAAAATCAATAAACATTATATTTCCTAAATCAGTTTATTGTTTTCTTAATTAATAAATGCAATTGACAAATGCAAAACATTTCAATAGAAGGTTTAAATGGAGGTAAAATTAAAATACAGCTTTCTATGAGCAGCAATATAGTAAATGCAACTTTAAAATTTATAATAATTATTTGGAATATTACGATTACAGCTGACAACCATATTTTCTGTTTGTGACATGTATTATAATTAAAATAAATATTAAATTACTTAAACTACAATTCGAAATCAAAAGGCGGCCAAAGTGCGCTGGGTCTGATTCTAAGCTGGCGACTGTGAATACCCTACTGCACCTACACCTGAATATCTGAAGTTTGAGCTTAGGTGAGCGTATACAAATTTCGCATATCCAATAAAGTGGTCTCATCAAAAGCTCAGATAATAAATTACTTAATTCGACAGTCGACATTCGACGTTCGGCATTTTATCAATTTAATCAAAATAATCTACCGTCGTTAGCTATTGAGCTCGCCTCCCATTAAGTGGAGCTCTAGTTTTGAGGCGTTAACCTATATCCGAAATCAATCGCCGCCGCTGAACTCAAATTTTCTTCAAGACAATCGCTTTGCTGGAATGGCCAACACCTGCCGACGACTTGAGGCTCATCACGGCCGTGAACAGGGCGAAGAAGAAGCCGGCCAGGCCCGTGGTGCCCACCAGCAGTGTCAGCCCTCCAATCAGCACCGGTATCAGGGTCAGAAACTTTAACTTGTACGCAATGAGCAGTGGCAGCAGTAGTTTCTGAATTTTCTTCTTCAGTTTTTTCAGCTTGCGGCCCTGAATGCTGCCAGCCAGCTGGCTGCCTCGGCCTTGAATTTCCTTTGATGTTGTTGTAGCTGTTTCTAGTTGTTCCTCTTCTTCTTCTTCATTTTCAGTTGCTGCGTCTATGCTCCGCCCAACCAATTTAGTTGACAGGATATCTGCAAGGAGAGACAGCTCGAGCTTTTAGTTAATTAAGTGACTAGACCTTTGAGCGTCCAAGCGCAACAACAGAGTCATGGACACCGTTCATCAGCGACCAAAAAATAATAATAATAATAATGTATTGTAGTGGGATGTAACGAGCTGCTGGACACTCGCTCAAATTTTAATAAACGTTTGAAGGGAGATAACTTTGTGAAAGGACTTTAAAATATTTATATATTTTTTTTAAATATTTTACAATAGGTTTTTTCTATGAAATTTCGTAATCAATATGCTCAACAATTTAATCCTATTGTTAAATTATGTTAGCTTTAATGCTACGAGCAAAATATTATCGATTGGCCTTTTGAATTTATTTATTACACATTTTATGTGCTTCAGCTCTTTATTGTCTATTGTTGAAGATAGAGGCTCACAACTTTGGCCCCTGTCTGACCCAGGAATAATGGAGTTTCTTGTTCAGATATATAAATCCACAGCCAGCTAGACAGAACGCAATACGCTCGTTCAATTTGCTGAGCGAGCATTGATACAATTTTATTAAAAATCAAGCTTACTTGTCTCCAACGACCTCAGTTCCTGCTTTATCTCGTGGCCCTCATCCCAGTCCTCTCCATCCTCCCCGCTGATGAGATCTCGCACAGTGTCACAAAAGTTGCGCACCTTGCGCACGGCGCGCTCAAATGTTGTCAAATAGTTGTTTATGCGCTGAGCCGTTGCTGAGGTGGGCTTAGCCAGGACATCAAGGGCCTCATCAGCGGCGTTTGTGTTGGCGTATGTGTTAGTCACGCGGTTGTTGGCTTCGCGTGCTTCCGGCTCGATATGTCCCCTCTGCACGTCCGGCGCATCCTCGCCGTTCGGCAATTGATGGAGAGTGGGGCTCAGGGCCCACACGTAGCGTGGAGCCGCCGCATTGAGATTGGATCGCACCTGTTTGTAATTTCCGCTGGGAGCATCGTTTGCGGCAGCTGTCGCCACCGTTTGATAGCGATGATTGTAGGCGTAGTAATTGACAGGAAGTTGCCCTTGTGGCTGCTGCTGCTGTCGCATGGCTGTTGCCGCCGTTGCCTGCAGTATCAGCCAATTGTTGTGGCCCGTCAATGGCTGCCAGGCATTGAGCTTCACTTGCAGCTGCTGCTGCTGCTGCTGCTGCTGCTGCTCATTGTTCGTTAATCCGGAAGCGACGCCATTAAAGCGAGCATCCATGCCGGCCTCTGTCTGTGCGAGTGCCACATAAACGGTTAACACATATACCTGCCACACTTGCTGCCACATAGTTTTGGGTGTCGAGAGCACGAACCACACCGCACGCTGCTTAGAATCGAACTGAGTGCCAAGATGTAGTTCAATTCTTAGAGGCTCTCGAAAATGTTTACGACTGTTTTAGTTGAGCGATTTTAATGGCCTTTCGCCGAAAGTGGCCGGCACTAAATGCTGGGCCCCAGCTTGGCTGTAAATGCAACCAAGTTGACTTTTACTATGCCACTAAGCGTGGCTGCCAAGCGTGGCTTACCACACACTCGCACTCACACACACACACACACACACACCTGCCACACGTCTAATTATGCGGTTAGCAGGCGGATTCGATACTCAAAATTGCAAAAGTTTTCAATTGTCGAGCTCACTCACACACGTCACCATTGAAGCATGAATTCTTAATTAAAATATATATATATACAATAATATTTAGTGGGACTATTTTCAGCACTTGTTTTCACTTTTGCTGCCTGGTTGCGTGTTGCAAGCCCTCTCGATGCCAACTGCCGTCTGCAGCTGATATTATGATTCTATATAAGACCCAGTGCAAGTCCGACCTCAGCTGGGAAAGTGTGGCCAATGCAATCATTCAGCGCAAGTACTTTGGGGCAACGTGCATGCTAATTGCCAGCGCTGAACTTGCAACACGATTGCCTGCCTGCCAGCCTGCTAATTGGCGCCTGTCTAAGCTACAAACTGTCGCTGTCAGCGAGTGCCGCCGCATTAAGTTGCAGCAGACTCACAGCTGCGCCTAAATGTCTTCAAATGCCGCCTGTCCGCAGTTGCATGCGCTTTTAGGCGCTTCGCTTGGAGCTGTTGCATGTGAGTAAAACTGTTGCTAGCTTTTAAGCTTCTTTCCGCAGTTGTTGCCGGAGCCTGTTGCATACTTTTGAGGTGGGCCCCCACTCTCAGCTGTAATTGGATTCGGTCCACAGCATGTGCTTTGCATGCCACAGGATTCGGATTCTCTAAGGAGTTCCGGCCCACCTCCACCCGCTGCTGTTTCGACATGCAACAGCTGCTGCTGCTGTTGCTTAAATTGGTTACGTGCTTCATCATGCGAAAGTTGTGATTGCTGAACTTTTTCATTTTATTTAAGCGATAGTTTTTCAAGCTGAGATACATATCTGAGCGAGCTGGCTCAATCGAGTATTCATAGCAGCAATCGCAGAATGGGAGCCGAAAGGGAATTTATACAACTATTACACACATGTATATGATAGGGCCCAGTGGGTGCCATAAATTGCAGATGTTTGACATGATGTGAAATACGCTGAATTGGCAATGGATTTCTTACGGCTAAACTGAGGCCAAAATTCGACCGTTTTATAGCTTGTTTAGCTATACAAGAGTATCAGAGCCAAATCATAGCTTTATATTGGCGATGTGATATACTAGTCATATAAAATGTATCTCTTCATCAAAATAATAATAATAATAAAATAATAATTCTATATTCAGTTGGAAAATTAACCTTGATTAAGTCTAAGAAATATTTTGAAAGATGTAAGAGCTAATGTGAGCCAAGTGTTTGCCTTCGTATTCTTGAGTAAAATATGAGATGATTTAATTAGCAACCTTTATGTTCAATGATAAATCAGTAGCGCAGTGTGCCAATGATAGCACAGAATATGTCTTGATGTCGCTCTACAACATGTCAATTTTCTTATGTTTAGCGCTATTACTATTGATTAGCAATCAATCAACGAAGATATGTATATGACCTCGATCTTGAAATATTTAAAAGCTTAAACAAGTATAATATGTATATGTTAATATGACATTCTGCTGTAATGGCCTAGAAATATATAATTCATACTTATTATTAGTATTAATTATTCCTTTTGCTTCAGCTGCTGCATTTGATGGAGGGGATGTACCTTTAAAATATATAAATTTATTTACGTATTACTAAAGAATGTATTATTTCTGTTCGTTCCTTTTGCATTTTGCTGCTGTTGAGATCTTTTGTCTAATTGTTTAAAAATAATCTTTTGTGTGTGCGATTCACTCATTGATAAATTTAGCTCTTTGATGGGACAGCAAGCGAGTATTATGCAGTCGTTGTCATCTTAACTCCTCAGACAAGCAAAGTTTCAATTCATATATTTATCAAGAGCTGCTTAAAACTAAAACTAGAATTGATTATTCTCAAATTAGGTAATTAGATTATTAATTAATGGACCCCGCTCAGCAACAAATGCTATTCCTTATGCAAGTCAAGAGCAGCTTGTGTTAACTCCATCGGCCATCTGCCTTTACCTTCCTCACAATATTTCATTGTCAAGGCGAGAGGCATGGCCAGATGCAATCATGCATGATACCCACTGGAATCATTTAAGGCTTTAATGTGTTTATTTCATTTTTATTGCCGCAGTCTCATTAAATGTTTGCCAGTGTGTGTGTGTGTGAGCTTCAGAGTGTGATAAACTGGTCACATCTACCTACACTCACCTGGCGTGGTGCTCACACAGTTTGCTGTTTGAACAACAATTTGACTGTTTGACTAGCGTTCATTAAAGTCATAAATTAATTTAGCTCAACATGCAGATGTACAACAACAAGAAGCAGCATAAACCAGTGAATATTAGTGAATTTTTAAATATTTTTTTTTTTTATTATTAGTTTGCCAATCGAATTAATTGGATTGAGAGCAGAGTGTACAAAGTATGCAGTCGATTGTTATTGAACCGAATCTGATATGCTAACTTTTGTTGTATCTTTTAGTTCCAAATGAGATGCTAATTAATTCGAACAGAACTAGTTTAAGATCCACACTTCCTAAGCGATTACTAATGCAAATAATAAATAAATATACTTTCGGAGCCACAGCCACAGACCTTTCCAGAGGCCATCTCTCTCGCACACACGCAGATTCATGCCCGGCGGGCCAAATTGTGGCTGTGCTGTCTTCTCTTTGTTGGTGTTGTTCTTGGCCAGGCTAAGTCGGTTTGATGCGCAGACAGCTGGGAGGCGTCTGCTCATAAATTGAAAGCGCTTTGCTTAATTCGAATTAGTTTTTCGCCTGCTTTGACAGAGTTCGGTGCGCTATGAAAGTGAGTTAACCAGCTGCCAGGATTCAAGGACTCAACTCCTTTCACACATTGCGAGCACAGTCACTAAGTATCTCTATCTCTCTCTCTCGTTTGTTCAGCTGTTTGTGTGTCTCCTCGTGGTGGTCGCCACATTGGCAACAGCTCAAGCTGGACTCCTTGGCCTCCTAGGCAAGGGCGGCGGCGGTTACGGTGGTGGCGGCTATGGCGGCGGCTATGGCGGCGGCTATGGCGGTGGCTATAGCGGCGGCTATGGAGGCGGCTATGGCGGCTACGGCGGCGGCTATGGCAGCGGCGGTGGCGTCCAGGTCATCAAGGTGATCAACAGTGGAGCTGGCGGCTATGGCGGCGGATACGGTGGCGGCTATGGTGGCGGCTACGGCGGAGGCTACGGCGGTGGTTACTCCGGCGGCTATGGTCTCGGATACGGTGGCGGTTATGGCGGCGGCTATGGCGGCGGCTATGGCGGTGGTCATGGCGGTCTGGTCCAGGTCTACAAGGTCATCACAACTACCGGCGGCGGCTACGGCGGTGGCTACGGCGGTGGCTACGGCGGCGGTTATGGCGGCGGTTATGGCGGCGGCTATGGCGGCGGCTATGGCGGCGGCTATGGTGGCTCCTCCGGCTGGTGGAAGAAGAAGTAAACGCCCGACAAACTGTAGAGTAAGGAGAACTTAAAATAAAAACTGAAAAAAAAAAAAATATATATATATTGTTTGCCAAATTTTTAAATTGCGAATGAAGCTGAGATATCCTGCAAAAATTCAGGATCAGATATCTCTAATCAGTGACTGTGCTTGAAAATCCGGGGATTTACAGAGGGATTTGTTGAAGAGTTCATATAAAGTCTGGAATATTCTGCCATTAATTTTAGTTCAAGGTTACTAAACCAGTTATATCGCGGAACTGTTATTTCTTAAACACTATTTTAATGGTTAAAAAAGTTTCCCAAAAAATCGTTTAAACAAATAAAAATGTAAATTAGTTTTGTGCAGCATAAAGAAACCGCTTTTAAAATCAGAATTTAATCGTTTATAAAAAAACTTTAAAAGTCTCTAAACCGCATAAGCTCTTACAATACTCTGTTCGACACGCCCACCAAAATACGTAAATCAGTTCTTATAATTTGCATAACATATTGATTTGGGGCCACAATAAAATGGTCTTTCATTTGGAATACGCACGTCAATGGGCAGATGCCTGGAGCGGCAAACCTGTATATCTAACAAGTAAGAACGTTGCAGTCGGGCGTTACCGACTGCGGAATACTCATTCACATCCCATCAACAATTTAGTAGTTAAGTTTCGCTTTAATACTGTAGAATATACAGTTTTTTCCAATTTGCCACGCCCCAACTGGGCGTAGACACCTCATTTTTGGTCAGTTTTTAAAACGAGATAACTCTACCCTAACTGCAAAGATTGACTGCTTACCCTCAAAAAAAGTGAAAATTACAAGGTATTTTTCGATATGCCACGCCCCTAAAGAGGCATAAAAATTATTTGTTTGATGAATCGATAGAGGAGGCTACCAGTAACTCAACTATCAAAATTTGAAGCTTCTAGGTTATATACTTTAGGATATATAAACTTTTTCGGTTTGCCACGCCTCCTGTGGGCGCACATATATCCGACAAAGCTTTTTGGTCTTGGGTAATCAGCCTGAGTCTATATACAAAATTTGAGATCTCTGGCATCAATAGTATCCAAAATATAGCAGAATTCGAAAAATCACTATATCTTCAGGTCCGATTTGCCACGCCCCTAATATGTGTAGACTTCTAATTTTGTCCTTAGACTTTATAGAATCATAACATTAGCTGACATGCAAAATTTCAGCATTCTAAGTTTACAACTTTAGGAGATACAGTTTTATCTCATTTGCCACGCCCCCAATGGGCGGAGATATATCCGCCATAGCTTGTGATCTTGGGTGGTCGACGCGGACCTAAATACCAAATTTCAGCTTTCTAGCTCTTTAACTAACATGATTTCTGGTATATCGGAAAATGCATTTTCCGATTTGCCACGACCCTAGTGGGCGGATCGGGAAAATTTTAACACTTTATAAATCGGAGATATACACGAGTATGTGTTCCAAATTTCAAGTCTTTAGCTTCAATAGCGTCGAAATAGATTGCGTTCATACGGACAGACGGACAGACGGACAGACGGACGGACGGACGGACGGACAGACGGACGGACAGCAAGACGGACATTGCACAAAACCAATATACTGATTCACTTTCGTGAATGAGTATAAAAACCAGAATAGGTTATCAGTTGAGAGCTTAACTCATCTTCGATTAATCAGGCTTAATTTATGCCGCTGATAATTATGTAAGGGTTACAGCTCAACATTTAACAAGCGGCGCACAGAAGCATGAGCATTGAGCATTTGTCTGTTTCTTTTCATTTCATTCTTTGTAAACTTGAAATCGGTTTGTCGAGCTGCGGACTTGACATTGAACTTGAGTGAATTCTGTGGGGGATTTTTCCATAAATTAATTAGCTGTTTTTGTCGCCTTTCTAATCGGACAAGCGTTAAAGATATTTTTGCCGAGTCATTTCATAATTAACCGCAGTTGCTGGCAAACGCATATTTATCCGAGTAAATAAAAGATTCTGGTTATTTATTTTCGCATTGCATGCATTTGTCCTCTGGAATTCCCTGCAGGAGCAATAAACTTCAGTGCCGGCCTCAGCTGGCGCAGTCGTACAGAGTGTGTGGGCGCTGCTCGAGTGGGCGGACAGACGGCATATGGAGACACAGGATACGCAGGATACGCGCTGGCAGTCAGCACAAAGGTTGTCAAGGACACTGAGCAGCTTGGCATATGGCAACCGGATGGCAGGAAGTGTATACGTGTCCTCTGCGTGCAGCTACATCAGCATACGGCTGAGGACGTGAGGCCGCAGCTGCTGAACTTTAACATGACCTTGCGACAGATAATGCCTAGACACTTTAATAAATTGAGCCAAGACAGCGTTTCTACACGTAAATCTTTTATTTATATAAATATTTATATGTATAATTTGTAATTGTATTTGTATTTGTGCTTGTATTCTTCTTCTTTTTTTTTTTTTTTTTTTTGTTACTTTTGTGTTTCTTGAAAAACTTTGCTGCTTACATGCGAGACACGTCTAGAGTTAAGAAATAAATAATGTTAATAAATTATTACACTAGACTACAGTTAAATGAATTAAGCTTAAAGCTAATCGAAAAATGCGCGCGTGAAAAAATGAGCTGGAAACGAGAGCAGGAGCCGAGCAGAATGAATGAAAGAAGATAACGTGAGTGAGTGAATGAATAATTGAAAAATAACAGGAACTGGGAGTGCAGTTAGCTGGCCAAGAGAGTCGGAGTCGAGATGGAGAGATGCAGAGATAAAGTTCAGACAGACGTTGCACTTGAATAGCTGTAAACGGGCATAGAATGGAAGCGGAACTGGGTGCGTATTACGCAAATCGATTTGTGTCTTATGCAAATGCCAATGATTAAGTTAGCTTCACGTTACAGATACATTTGCAGCCATGTATCCGCAGGTGCAACTGCGCATTTGACCGTTGCTCGCCGTGTTGAGGTGTGTGAAAAGAAAAAGTGAGCCGAAGAAAGCAGTTGATGAAAATCTAATTACAATTTGCCAGCCCTGTCTCGTCTCAGTTTGTCAGCCCCCCTAGATTTATCTACAAGATAAATGCAGTCTAGGGAGCTATGAACTTTGTCTGTGTGAATATGTTTCGCTCTTTGTCTGTATATATGTGTGTGTGTGTGTGTGGCGTCTATGACTTGACCAGCGCTGGCTGCGCTCCCACTGGCTGCTGCTGCTGCTGCTGAAGGGCTGCCTGCTGCCTGCTGTGCGCACGATATGCCATCTCCTGCGCCTCGGTCAAGGAACGTCTGTCCCAGCCACCACCACCGCCACCGCCGCCCGAGGACCAGCCGCCGCCGCCGCCACCGCCGCCCGAGGACCAGCCGGAACTGCCGCCCGACGATTTGCCAGCCATCAGCTTCTTCAGCCCAATGATGCCGGCCAGGAGCAAAGCAATCTTGGAGATAATCAAAGCCTTGCCCGCCAGTATATAAAGCGCGCCCATGGCAATCGGCAGCATGCCCATCAGCTTGGTGGCCATCATCATGGCCATCATCATGCCCATTTTCTTCATCTTTCCGCGGCCTGCAACGAAGACAATAAAATACATTTAGCAGTTGAGCTTAAAGACATAATTGTAGGCATATATGTTGAGTGTGACTGGAAATCACTCTTAGCATGAATTCCCACACGCTTTCCACATAATTCCTGCAGCTGTAAACAATGAGTTTGTTCAGCTTGATGCTTGGCCTTAATGTCAAGGGAGCGTTCCTAGCTCAGGAGAAAGTTCCCCAGCCATGAAGGCAGCGCATACAACTATATATGTAATGCTTATAAATATATTTTGTTATATATATGTGTATATTTGATAAAGCTTTGTTGCTCGTATGACTTTCGTTTTGTTGCATATGCTTGCATTACTTTTGCATCAGGGACATTTTTGGCGATTTCACTTGCTCAGGTGAAAATCCAAAGGGGGGTGCGATCTGCGAGCTGTGCAAATGCAACCGAAATCCAAGTCAATAACAAGATGCGATTGCAATTAACTGCAAATGGCAGTTGGGAAAGCGTTGGCCATGTTGAGCAACTGAATATCTTGATCTCGATCAATAATATGAAAGTAAAAAGAGGAAAAATATCATCCATGCATCGTGAAAGTAAGTAAGTTCGCTTTTCATTACGAGAAAATATTTGCTGTCGCTGCGAATGCTTTAAGTGCTTCTGTCAAATTTGTAATTGATGCAAAGCGCACTCGCCTGCCAGCCAGCCAGCCAACCAGCCAGCCAGCCAGCCCACTAGAAGCCGCAAACACCAAGCGGGCCAAGTGAAACGTGGCCGACACTTTCATTGGGCTGCGCATTCGACATGGTCATGACATCTCAAAGCCCGCCACAAACTGCGTGGCGTGTCGTGTTTTCGTGTGTTTGCAAAGAGGCCGTATTTAAATGTACTTCAACTCCAAATGAGTCTTAACTTTCGGCGGTTCTTTCTATTTTTCTTTTTACTTCAGTCCATTAAAGACCAAGTATATTGCCATGAGTAATATCTGTCTTGTTATTGTTGATACGCTTTTCTTTGCGCACTTAAAGCTGTTGAGTGAAAACTTGTATGAAAATTTTATGGGATTTAAAGATTTTTTACTGACAATTAAAATGATTTCTAGCCTTCAATCAGAGCACATTGAGAAAGTTTTAAAAAGCTCTTCCATTTACCAACTATTTAATAATAATTTGAAAAATCTTAAAAGGTTCCGAATTGCTTAGAAATGATTTTGAAATTATTAGCAGTGATATATATTATATTATATTATTTATGTATGTCATATATTAAATATGACATATGAAATATATAACCTATTGATAATCTTAAGCTAAATATGAGATTACCCATTAAGATATAATGCATATTTAACAGGTTTATAGTATAAGCATGTTATTGATAGGCTGCCGAACCTAACTTAATATTCTAAATTATTCTGCTCGGCTTTCAATTTGCATAACTTAGTTGTAGCATAAAAGTTTTGTGGAATGAAAAAATCAATAACAGATTTATAAATATTAACATACTCTTATTAACATACTAGCAGAGCTAATTTTACATTTGAGAGGATTAAGAAATTGTTTTGTAATAATTGAGAAACATGAAAAACATTTGACTTTGTAATGATCTCGTTTTAAAAAAAAAAAAAATAAAAATAAAAATAAATCGAAAATTATTATTAATTTATTTTTTGTAGCCTTGCTGACTTGTCAAATTTTTTATATACCTTTTTAGCTAACGAAAATATTTGACTTTTAAATGATCTGCTATTTTCAAATTTGTTTGATAATTATTATCATGATTTTGTTTGTTTTTTTTTTTTTTTTTTTTTTTTTTTTTCTTGCTGATCTGTAAAATTGTTTACATTTCCTTAGTTAATTATTTCCATATATTCCACCAAATTAAATTCTTCTATTTTAATTATTGTTTGTATTGTGTACACAAATTGAAACTGGTTTCTGATTTTAGTCTATTACAACTTAATTCCTCTTATAAAAAATTATATGTATCTGTGCGTAGATTATATATAGTTTATGTGTTTTATATATGTCTTAATACAACAATCTTCCACCATCCACAATTAACTAAGACCGTTAGCTAGCTGTTTAGACTGGACTTTATATCTCTTTCAGCCCTGTGTTTACAATTACGAATTGAAGTTTTTCCCAAAACTCTCTACAAATGAAAATAATACATAAAGTGCATGCGTTTGTCTGTCTGCTCATGTTTATGTTTATTTGTGCGGGCTAACACGAAACTCTGGCATGACAATTTTTTTTTTTTTTTTTTTTTTGCTGTCATTGTTGTTGTTAAGGTTTATGGGTCAATGTAAGTTTTTCGAACGAGTTTTGACTACTGTGTATGTGTGTGTGTGTGTGTGTGTGTGTGTGTGTGTGTGTAGGCTTGAAAACAATTGCATATCTTCCCATAGACTAGAATTTTCCACGCTTCGCTCTTAGCATACAATGCAAGCGCGCGGCAGTTGTTAACCCACTTCCTGGCTGCCAATGTCATTGTCAGCTATTCAATTAAGCCTGGTCTGTATGTGCACAGCAAATCTAGACACATATAAGTATATATTTAAAATGTGATATGTGTTGCCAACAACGCCTGGCTCTAATAACCGTCAATTATGAGCGGAGCTCTGGCAAAATTATGTCACTGTCACGCGCAATGGTTAAGTGCATGAAGCGGTTAACATAACTGCAATTACACAGCCAACTATGTGTGTGTGTGTGTGTGGGGTGTGCTATGTGGCATGCTTACCTTCCTCGAGTCCGCGTCCAATCTCATCGGAAGTCAATTTGGGGAAGCTGACCTGCAGCGAGTGCCCGTTGAAGAAGTAGCTCAAGCGTTCAATCAGCATATTCGTCAGCTTCGCATCCCGATCGCTGCCGGAGCGGGCCAGCGAGGACTCCAGCTCGTTGTCGCTGTAGGCGGGTGGGCGTGGCGCCGTCTCGAGGCGCACCAGCTTGATGCCATCGGCCACATTGATGGCATCGATGGGCGCAATGCGATCGATAAACGATATGGCCTTCTTCTTCAGGCATGGCACAAAGCCGCTCTCGGCCCGATTGCATTCATCATAGACCCGGAGCAGAGTGCGTGCGCCCGCATTATGGCTGCTGCTGGCGGGTAGATTGCTTAGCTGCTCGGTGGCCGCATCGCAGCCGCTGCTGCTGAGGCTGATGGCCAGGCACAGGCCGAGCAGGAGCACTAAATGCTTTTGCCTGAATGTCATTTTCACGCACACTCACTGCTGCACTAGACACACGCGTCTTAGCTAACACACACACGCACACAGAAACACGCACGCACGCACACACACGCGTCTGGACTAATCCTGGCTGGGTATGTGATATCGTTGGCTTTGCCTTGGAGCGCGTCTTGCTTGCACTGCCAACTGGTTTCAATCAAACTGATGGCCAGCCTTGGCGCGCCTATTCTTATATAGACCTCGAGCTCGGCTCGAGCTTGACTTAATCGCAATTTGATTTTCTTCGTGCTGCAGTTGTTCAAGTTCGAGTTGGAGTTGGAGTCGGAGTTGGAGTCGAGACTTCGTGTCTGTAGTTGCCGTTGCTGTTGGGTAGTTGCTGCCTCTAATGATCATTGCGCTGCCAGCAACAACTGCAAAAGCAACATCAGCGGCAACAACAACCGCTACAGCTCTGGACGTGTTTTTTTTTTCTTTCTTTTTGCCAGCCGCTTTCGTTGTTTATGGCCAAATATATTAGTTGGATTTGTTGCCTGGGTAGGTGTTTAGCTTTTTGACCATTTTAAACTGGCTGCCGTTTGGTCAACATTGTCGCTGCGGCTGTTGCTGCTGCAGTTGTTGCTCTTGTCGACACTTTAATTTCAATTTGGCATTTGCCAATTTTCGCCTCGCATTTCTATTGCCATAAAAAAAGTATTTATTAACCACTAAACGCTTGCAATTTGCAGCTCAATTTTATTATGCAAATTTCACACAAAGGAGGCAACAACAACAACACCAACAGCAACACCAATAGCAACTCTATTTAGCATCCGATCAACACCCAGCCTATATCTAGCTGATGGCCAATGCAATCGAGGGCTTTCAGCTATCATGATATGCATCTATTAAAGCCAGGCCAGGCCATTGACTTGCGGCTGCTGCTGTTGCTGCTGCTGTTGTTGCTGCCGCTGCCGTTGCTGTTGCCACAAAAGACAAATTGTTGGCCCTGCCTCTGTTGGCTGTGTTTTATGCATGAGCCAGCATCCGCTGAGTTTCTCATAGAACGTGCCACATGAAGTCGCACTGGCAAACAGGCAGCCAGCCAGGCAAAAGGAAAGCTGCCGCATAATTGTGGCTTTGAGCCAACGTTAGCAACAAATATTTTCCCCAAAAAGACCAGCGGAAATACTTTGTATGTGTTTGTGTGTGTGTGGGTATGTGTATGTGTGTCTCTTTATCTTCTGGTATTCTTGTCCAGTGCTTTCGCCCAGCTCCAGTCAGCTCCAGTATTGGGCACTTTATGTGGCAGGTGCTGCGACCACAAAGGGATTTGCTCGCATGCCACTCAACCTGGCTGTCCAGCCTCCGCTCATTTTTCATTTCGGATTCCGGCCCCGAAGCTCCGCTCGACTCATTTTCAACTAATAAAGTCGCAAATTTAGGCCCCACAGCGGCACCTGTGCAGGTCCCACAGTCCAATGACTGTCGTGTGCGCCGGCTACTTGTTGCCCACAGAAGGCATTGCAGATCGGATATATACGAGTCCAAGATTTCCCTCTTGTTGTTTTTGCCGTCGCTTTCTGGGCCACTAATTTTTGATGTTGGCTGCCGCAATTTCCACTTTACTTTCACTAGTGCCCACCAAATGGCCGAGCAGGGGCCAGGGGCTCGGGATAGGGCAAGGCCTTCGATTTGCATGGATCGCTCGATGTTATTATATTTGGTTTGTTTGATAGCATTACGAGTACTTTTCAATGCTGATGAGCAAAGGTGAATGGCGCTCATTTCAAGTACTCACATTGCTGTGCTGTCCTTAAGTAAGTAGGTTCACTGACCGCTTCAGCCCGGCTGCATAATATTGCCATGGAGAGAGTTGGACGGACCCTCAAGTTGGCTAAGACCGCCATTGAAAGAGACGAGCATTTCATTATGTCCATACAAAAAATATGAACAAAAACTTTAAGCCGCGCAGACAGTTCTCATTTGTTTTTGTGTGTTTTTAATGCCCAGCTAGGGTATAGCGCTGCTGAGGTAAAGGTGAACGACCAAAACTTTAAATATATCGTAGTAGTGAGGTAGAAGGTAAGTTATACTAGAGTTTTATATATACTTTTAGATATTAAATTATTAAATTGTGCATTTTCTTCTATACCAAAGAAAGAATAATAAATATAAATTGAGACACTTTTAGAATTGATTGCTGTGAAGTCTACAACAAAACATAATTGCTTCCAATAACTTTACAGGTTATCCAATGCTATACATATGTTTGTACCCGTGTTAAAGGGTATCTACTTATCAAAACAGTGTAATTAAATAATATTACAGGGCATACTCTACTCGTACGTAACAATATAACGCATATTCGATAGTTTTCCTTATGTTTGATAATATTATATATATATATATATATTGATGATAATATTTCTATATAATATACATATTTTTTTACAGGGCATCTGATGTCAGTCAAACAAACAGAAATAATACTAAATTTTATATACCTGCAGCGAATATGCATTACTTTTCTATTCGATCTGGTAAAGATATACCTCTTAGTGAATATTTCATATTTATTACAGGGTATCTTTTACTCTTTTGCAACAATGAAACTCGCATTAGAGTATTCTCTCTCTTTCTATCCATCGCAAATGTTTAGTAAAGCATTTACTAACTTTTCCCAGGGCATCTGATAGTCAATCAATTCGCATCATCTCGTCCGTCCGCTGTTCCTTCTCTCTTTGACAGCTCCGCATATGCTTATGCTTATGCATCTGTTATGCACAAATTTCATGCCTGACATCTAATAAGCTCGCTCGTCGCCACGATTTATGCGCCTCAACCCAACTCATGGATAATGCAGACCCGTCGAAGCCGTCAAGCTGTCCATTGCGTTGCCCACACTAGGGCCGACGAGTCCACAACAATCACACTGTAGCTGATCTATTCTTGTGCGGGTGCAGCTGCCTGGTTAAACACAAGCGCATCTGTGGAGATATGTTTCTCTATATGTTTCTTGGACGGCTTCAGTGCACGCGAGCCCGGAGCTAAATTGTCTGAATGAATGCCAGCGGCAAGGCCAAGCAGTGCCGCGGCAGACATTACACTCTCTATTGGCCGCGTCGCGTCGTTAGCCGGGCCAACCGCCAGCCACTAGCCGCAGAGCATAATCCGGCATCTGGCTGTGACACGCCTTGCACTTTTCTCTCAAGAGCCATGAGATTTTCCACTGTTTCTGTGAGCCATTTTGCGGTCGAGACCAAAACAAAATAAAATACAAAGTAAAAAAAAAGTAAAAAAAAAAAAACAAAATAAAAATAAAAATAAAATAAATAACGGCTCTGCTCGAATTTGAGATATCACTTAAACTCTTATTTAAAAGATAGACATATGTATATATTAAAAGTTTGTGATTCAGATTCACTTATCAAATCAAATATATACACATAGCGAACATTTTAGATCTGATCGAGTGCATCTATGTGGACTATAAGAGAGGTTCTAGTACTAGAAAAAAATATGTTTCAAAGGTATGTTATGGTTATATGGCTATGGCATAGTTGTTATGAGATAAACGATGGATAGTCTCTGTCAAATATAAATATGGAGTAGTCAGATGAGTTCGTCTAATGTGGACAGCACTGTTTATCGATATACACATTCTATTGACAGGATCTCGATTATAGTAACCTAAATACTTTTATGTAGATGCTTTGACGAGTTAGTAAGTTGTTCCCCACCCACTGGAGAATTTTTATTTCAGGCATGACTTTTACCTACATATGCAGCTGTGTCTATCAGAAATAAGGTCTTAAGCTCAGTTAACCGATAAATTATATAAAAATAAACATAGTTATCGTTGATCTACACATTTGACCCATATTTTTACAGCCTTACATGAGCCCCCCCTAATCATCATATCCCAATAAACTCTCAATATTTACAATAACTACAGGGTATGGCAAATAAAGCATCAGCAGTGGCAACAGCGGCAAACGCCATAAAAACAATTTCATTGTGGCTACATTAAAAACAAACCAGAATTGCGTTTTAATAAACAGCAGACAACGTGACAGCTACAACAACAACGATAGCAACAGCAACAACAGCACGCAGTAAAGACAACAACAACAATATGAGCATCCACAGTGCATTTTATGTTGTTGTTGTCATTTTATGTGTGTGAAGTTTTTCATTTCTTTCCATGCCGAGAAAGTAAATAATTTGTTCTAAATTCTTGCCATAAACTTTGGGGCGCAAACAAGTGCCAAAGCGAGAAGTCGCTGACGGGTTAAAGTTCAGTTTGACTTTCAGTTTTAGAACTCAAGCCCTACATAAATATATATATACACACACACACACAGAAACATTGTGTATGTGTTTACTTATATTTAACTTTCTATTTCATGCGGGCGTTCATTCAAGCGACCCAAGTGCAATAAAAATTGCAATTTTCACAAACCGAGTCAAAACAAAAGAAAGTGAAAATGTATGTGTGCCTGTGAGTGTGTGTGTATGCTTATGTATGTTTGTGTGTGTGGGCTTTCTTATACTTGTTTAATTTAGACGCTCTCAGGGTCTTAATAACTTTGCCGACAGACTTTCAAGCATATCCGCCGATAAAGATCGGATACAGCTGCTTAGACAGTCAGAAACATGCGCCCAGCGAGTGTATATTAGATTCGGCGTTCGCTTTCATCATTTGCTGTCTTTTTTGATGACTCTTTGCAACTAATCAAAGACCAAATCTCATACTAATTAGCCTTTAGAGGCGATCAGCGATGCTGACAACTTTCTGCTTCAGCGGATGTGTCAGCAGCCATACGTGTCACCAGCTGAAGAGGGAGATGGCGATGGAGTTGGAGCTGGGGCTGGGGATGTGAATGGGGATAAGCCTGAAATGAGCTTCAGCTTGGACAGGCGTCGCTCGATGGGGATGCAGCACTCGACACTCGACACTCGGCACGAGGCAATTTTCATTTAATCTCCACACAATTTATTTAAACGCTTGGCCAATTTGAAGCCTCAAGTAAAAACAAGGCAAGCTCAAGAACAGCTTAGAGCTTGCGAAGATGTAATACACTTGCAGACAAAACGTGAGTCAAAATGATGTGGGAATTTGCTAAAAGTATTTCGTGCAGAGTTAATACGAAATATTAGAAATGCTTTTGTATACAAGTTTTTCGCAAAATTTTCCATTATATAGCAC